AAGTTTCTAGAATAAAACATCAAAGATATTTTTCATGGGCTTAGGTCAGGAAAAGATTTCTTAGAAAGGATACAGAAAACACAAACTATGAAAGAAAAAAAATTGATACATGTCATCAAAATTTTAAATGTTTGTCCTTCAAAAGACACTGGAAAGAAAATGGAAATACAGGTCACAAACTGGGAGAAAATATTGGCAAAACACATACCGGGTTGGACGGGTATGGAGAATATATAAAATAACTCTCACCAACTCAAAACTGGGAAGACACAACCAGATTTTTAAACCAGTAAAGAGTTAAACAGATGCTTCACCAAAGAAGATAGACAAAAGCGAGCACGCACATATAAAGCTGCCCAATGATTTTTGTGTGTGAGAATATACATTTTTATTGAGCAGTTGGGCATGAGGCTTAACTTATTCATGAGATTTGCTCAGTTTTATTTATTATTTTAAAGCTAGCCAATATTAGTAGTCATTGGACAAATCTAAGTTCAAACTGCAATGAAATATCACTACATACCTAGCAGAGTGGCTAAAATTAAAAGCCACCCACTAGCCAGCGTTGCCAAGGATGTGAAGCAGCTGGAACTGTCGTGTAGTGTCAGTGGGAAAGCAAAATGGTATAGACACTTTAGGGGGAAAAGCTTGACAATTTATTATAAAGGTAAACCTATAATTACCATATAGCCCAGTAATCCTGTTCTTAAGTACCTACTCAAGAGAAACGAAAACATGTGTCCCCACATAGACTTGTATATGAATTTTTTTTAGCATCTTTATGCATAATAGCAAAAAAAAAAAAAGGAAATAACACAAGTATCCATGAACTGTTGAATGAATCAACAAAGTGGTATATCCATACAAGAGAATCTTAGTCACCAATAAAAAAGAAATCACTACTAATACGTAGAACAACGTAGATTAGGTCATGTGATTATGGAGCGAGAAATCCCAGATCTGCACCATTGTAAACTGCAGGCCCAGGAAAGCCAGTGGTGTAGTCCCAGTCCAAACCCAAAGCTCTGAGAAGCAGGGGTGTTAATGGAGTCAGTTCCAGCCAGAATCTGAAAACTTGGGAACGAAGAGTGCTGATGTCCAAGGGCAGGAGAAGATGAGCATCTCAGCTCTATTCAGACCCTCAAGGACCAGGTGATGCTGCCCCTATTGTTGAGACCCATCTTCTTTCCTCATCTACTGACTCAAATGCTAATGTCTTCCCAAAACACCCTTATAGGCACACCCAGAAATGATGTTTTAGCAGCTGTGTGGGCCTCCATCAGCCCCGTGAAGTTGATGCATAAAAACATTAACATTAACAATTACGCAAAGACAAGCTGTGGCACTTTTCAATGCCAAAACACTGGAGTACAGAAAATAAAATTAATTCTTACAAATCAATACCAAAAAACCCACAGGGTAACCCAATAAAAATGGAAAAAAGATATTAACAGGCATTTCCCAAAGGAGGATATCCAATTGGCCAATAAAAGATGAAAAGGTGATCAACCAGTCACATTAGTCATTAAAATAAAAGTTATTCCTTACCATTTCTTGTCCTCCAGTCTGGGAAGAAGAGAAAAAAAAACAGAAAATCTAACAATAATCTGTGTGGATGAGAATGCAGAGCCACAGGAATCTCATACCTTGATAGTAGCAAAGTAAGTTGGTATAATCATTCTGGAAATCAGTTTCACATTACATAATAAAATTAAGCATACTTACACCCCAAAGCAACAATCCTACAACAAGGTACATACTCTAGAGAAACTCTTGAATGTGTGCATCAACGTCTTAGCTTAGGTCCCACCTAAGGTCTAGACCAGAACATGGCACTCAGGTAGTTTACCTTGGGATAGTCTTTTTTTTTTTTTTTTTTAAGATTTTATTTATTTATTTGACAGACAGAGATCACAAGTAGGCAGAGAGGCAGGCAGAGAGAGGGGGGAAGCAGGCTCCCTGCTGAGCAGAGAGCCCGATGTGGGGCTCAATCCCAGGACCCTGGGATCATGACCTGAGCCGAAGGCAGAGGCTTAACCCACTGAGCCACCCAGGCACCCCTACCTTGGGATAGTCTTAAAGAACAGGAGTGGTGTGCTAGAATGATTAGACCAGGGAGAAAGGAAAGCCATTTGAAGGGGGTGTCATGGAGAGTCAGTGGAAGCAACTGGGGCTCAATCTTGCTGGATAGCCTCTGAGAAACTGTATAAAGTGAATTGCCCACCTCTGACCTGGAAATGGGGAATATTTATCCACTGGCTCCAGTCCCCATTGCCCAAAGATCCCTTTTCTTGGGATCTATGAGTAGAATAAATCACCTTTGCCATGGCATTTACTCTTGATCTGCTGGCCCTGCCTGATCTGCATAAGAGAACCTATTAACACATCTACTGACAATATTTGAATAAATGATCATATAGCTACACAATGCAATACTATACAGCCATACACAACCACAAACAATAAAACAAGGATGATTCCCACAAACAGAATTTTGACTGAATGTACAAAGACACAAAAAAATACATCAAGCATGATTTCATTTACATAAAGTTCAAAATAGGGGAAAGGGAATCTACAGCATGGAGCGATGCATACGTAGGAAGTCAGACTGTAAAGAAAAGCAAAGAAATATGTATCACAAATGTCAAGATTGTAATTACCTCCAGGAGAGGAGGCAAGGGATTGTGATTTGGGGAGAGGGGCAGATGGAGAGCTTCTGGGGAACTGGTAATGGTCATGGCAATATTTTCTCACTGAGTGATTTTAACAGATTTTCTTTTTAGTGATTCTTTAAATTGTACATAGGTACTTTATGCATTTGCTGCATAAGTCCTAACTCTTAATAACAATATTTTTAAATGGTTATCATGTGGCTTGATGAATGAGCAGAGGAGTAAAGAGTGAGAAGGCAAATGGATCAAAATGTTAACTGTATTATCTACCCAGTGCCAAGCGCAGGTGCTCGCTGACTGTAGCACCACAAAGAGGCTGGTATGGCCGCTGCAGAGTCTGGGAGGGACATGCGGTGGGGACAGACACACAGGCAGGGACCAGGCTACAGGGGACCTATATACTGGATTAAGGAGCTTGGACTTCTTCTGACTGGCAATGAACAGCAAGAATCAGGCATTTATTCTTCATATCATGTGCTGGGGCTGGCAGAGGAAAATGCCCCCTTTCACCAGAGCCTCAAAGGAAGAGGGAGTCCCTCCTGGTCAAGAGCAAGAGCCTTGGTGGAAGGAGGCAGCCGTCAGGTTTGCCCAGCTCCCTGCAGAGCACATGAAGAGCAAGCTGCTGTGCTGAGCTGTCTCTGGCCGGTCAGCTCTGAGCTCCTCCTGGCCCACTGGGATAGATGTGACTGTCCTTATTTTGCAGACACAGCCAGTAGGTCATAGAGCAGGATTTGAATTCATCTGAAGTCGTTTGAGGCAGCCCATGTTTTTAACGACTTGCTCCACTGTCTCTGCAAGACATCATTCTGGGGGCGAAGGAGAGAAGTGGGCAAGTCAGCAGTAAAAAAGGATGGCAGAGCCATGGGAGGAGACAAGATCCCTGGGAGAAGAATACCAGAACTCCCCCTGAGACTACCAACAGAAAGAGGGCATCCTGGAAGGAATGGTTGGGGTGGATGGGAGGAGGCCACCCTGAAGTACACTGAGGAGATTAAGTAGACTTTTCCTAGGATTATTAATTTTTTTGACAGAAAGGGACACAGCAAGAGAGGGAACACAAGCAGGGGGAGTAGGAGAGGGAGAAGCAGGCTTCTCGGGGAGGAGGGAGTCTGATGTGGGGCTCGATCCCAGGACCCTGGGATTATGACCTGAGCTGAAGGCAGACTCTTAATGACTGAGCCATCCTGGTGCCCAATTAAGTAGACTTTTTAAAGAATAATGGCTTTGAAGAGAAGTGAAAAGGAGGAGGGTAGATGGGGGCGGGGGCAGGATAGACAATGGATCCTCTGGTTACTGCCCAGTGGAACATATGCCAAAATACCTACAAAAAGTCTGGTGCTAGTTCTTGTTACTTTGATCCATAACAAATTGGAAGTAGGACTATTAGATTTGGGATAGAAAATCTAGAGCAGAATATATCTCCTTATGGGCAGATAAGGGAATGCTATAAGCAAAAATGTAAATGATTTTGAATTATGTTGATATCTATAAAACTACTATCAGAAATAGCCCAAATTTCCACCAATAAGAGAATGTTTTAAAACTGTGGTGCATTCATACAGTTCTCTGCCTCGTCCATCCCAGGCACTTTGTCTCTGGGTGTCTGCTCTCTTTTACTTTAGTTGATATGTAAACATTTGATTTTGCTTTCAGATGAACTGACGACAATGCGTTCCTGTCTGAGCAAAGCGTAAAGACGGTCATTGTCCTTACAGAGCAAGGGAATCGGCTTTGGCATCAGATTGACTCCGTGCTGATCTTACCTTCACCGTTTACTCCTCTATAAAATGATACCAATCTCTACCTTGGTCTATTACCAAAATATAACGCCCGCTCCATGCCACACACCGTTCTGAGCCTTTGCAGATGTTAACTTAATCCTCCCATCCAACACCCCTATGAGCTAGCTACTCTGGTTTGCTCGTTTTTCTAATAAACTGAGGCACAGACAGATTGAGTGACTTGGCACGTCACAAAGCTGGTGACGAGAGGAGTGTGTTGATTCGGGATTTGAACGCCCACCGCCTTCTGGCTGCAGAACCCGTGCCATCCAACAGGAAACCAGCCCATTCCCGGAGCTGGCAAGCGGTGAGGGCTCTGCGCACGGCGGCTGCAGGACGTGCAGCGTGCAAGTGGAATCAGCTTTTCCGGGAGGCTGGACTTCTGAGCGCGGGCGTGAGCGGGTGCGGACCCCGCCCGGGAATCCTGCGGCGGTCGGAAGCCGAGTCCAGTTCCGCGCGTCCGCCGCCGCAGGGGGGCGCTGCCGCCCTCGCCGGCCGCCCGCGCGCTCCAGGCGGTCCCCGCGGCAGGGCGCGCCGCTGCAAGATGTCCGTGCGCCGCGGCCAGCTGCCCGCGCGGCCCGCCACCCGCCTCTCCTGGCTGCTGTGCTGCAGCGCCCTGCTGTCCCCGGCCGCGGGCTACGTGATCGTGAGCTCCGTGTCCTGGGCCGTCACTAACGAGGTGGACGAGGAGCTGGACAGCGCCTCCACCGAGGAGGCGCTGCCCGCGCTGCTGGAGGACTCGGGCAGCATCTGGCAGCGCAGCTTCCCGGCCTCCGCACACAAGGAGGACGCGCACCTGCCGCCTCCGCCAGGCGCCGCCCGCGCCAGGCCGCCCCCAGCGCCGCCCGGGATGTTCTCCTACCCGCGCGAGAGCGGCCCGAGGCTGCGCCCTGGCATCGCCCGCTTCCTGGCCCACGCCAGCGCCTGGGGCTGTCTGGCCACCGTGTCCGCCCACGAGAAGGTAAGCCGCCCAACCGGGAGCCGGCTGCAGGTGCATGCCTGGCGGTGGCCTGGGGACGGGGAAACGCTAGCGACCGCCCCCGGGGCTCGGACCCAGGTCGCACAGATGTGCCCAGCGGGCTGGGTTGCACTCTGGACGGCGCATAAATAATGGAACCAGATTGTGCTTTGCTTAACGTGGCAGAGGGGGAGGGGGGTGCTGACAGCCAGGCATCCTGCCAGGTGGATGGGGACTGAAGTGCAGTCTTGAGGTGGTCAAAGAGAAGTACGCATAACCAGTGCCTGACCCGTCCAGACCTGGACAAAAGAAGCCAGACCTGCCTTTGGCATCCCAGAGTAGGCGCGTGCGGCCTCCCAGGTCAAGGCACCCAACAGACCCGAACTTCCTGGTCACCTACTGACACTGGGGACTGGAAAAAAGATGCCACGGGGGTTTTGGTGGAAATTGACATTTTGAAATAATGGAACTCAAGAATTTTCCTGGAAAGGAGGTTTAGGGTGCAAAATGTATACATGCTGGAATGAGATGTTTTCTGCTGCAATTTTATCATTCAGTTCACAAATGTTTTACTCACCTGTTAGCCAGATTTCCACCTTAAGCCAAATGGCACGGATAAATATGGGGATGTGACATCCATAAGTACACACCCTCCAGAAAGATTTCAGGGCTGGTAAGATCCATATAAGGGATTTATTACAGGGAGGTAGTTTGAAATCCTATTTAATTTATGCAAAAACAAATTTGGGGGGAATGTGTAGGTCATTGGGCAGCAGGCAGGCTCTGATCCAGGTGTGGGTCTCACCCATCTGGAAACTGGCCAAGTCACTGGATTGTCCACTTTGCTTTCTTCCTATGTGAAGTTAAGTGGTTGGCTATGTAGTTCTGAAGTTCCTGTTTTACTCTTAAAAAATAAATAAGCTTATTCTGATTTTGGCAGTGATCTTAACCACAGTCACAGTATCCAAATGGTTTCTCACAGTTATATATTATACTCCTAAGACACACCTTACGAAGATATGAAGCTTAAATATGAAGCTGATCTTGGTTTAAAACACAAATTGTGGGGCGACTGAGTGGTTCAGTTGTTAGCTGTCTTCCTTCAGCTGGGATCATGATCCCAGGGTCCTGGGATCGAGCCCCGCATCGGACTCCCTGCTCAGCGAGGAGTCTGCTTCTCCCTCTCCCTCTGCCCCTCCACCTGCTTGTGCTCTGTCAGATAATATTTCCTATGTACACATCATGTGTGCAAAGCATGACTCTAGGCAGTTGGACAAGCTGAAAAACAGAATCTGTGAATGAACTTATATTACCATTTTGGAAGACTCCTTAACATTGCATCTTCTTCAAAGAGGAGAGCCATCCTTATTCCAAGTCTACACACCCCTGCCATATAACACTGGAAAGACAAGGACAACCCTGAGTTCTGAGCTCAGTGACAATATGGAGCACTCTGTAAAGAGTAAATAAAGCTCAGGAAGATTGGGAGGCAGGAACCAGCAGGGTTTGGAAAACCTAAGAAATATCTGAGAACTTGACCTCCTTCACTGGATAATCATGAACAAAAGTGAGTGTAGAGTGTTTCTGTGACTTCCACGGTGAGTTACTGAATCATATAATGGAATATTGATTACAATAAAAAAATGTAACTAATACATAAGAAAATGGTGTGGCTCTAAAAGAAATAGTTCCCCCCGGAGACTAGAGATCACAAGATATTGAAGTTAAGACCTAACTTCTATCCCGGAAGTTTTCAAAACCTTGGGAGAGTGGGGCTCCCAGGGGCAGCTTGTGGGAAAGGTTCTAGCACCCCTCCATGAATTTCATCTCCCCTCCCACAAATAATTTTAAGTTGTGTAAAGTGAGCATTTTCCTATGTAGATGCAGCAGCTTCAAGGATAATCTCCTAGCTGTTCTTACACACAGACTGCCCCTGTTCAGCTCCTCTGTAGAAATTCTGGAGCCCTCCCCGCGTGAACTGGGTCAGTTGGGAACCACTGTGCCTTCATTTACTACCTGTCAAAACCACAGTGATCCCATCCTCGTTGTTATATTTCCTGGCCAGAGACACACATGAAGCTCCCAGCTCACATCAATCCAAAACCTTGCATTGAAAAAGCCCTTTGCGCTGTTTGTTAGATCCCAGGACTGCCGTTTGGGAACTGCCTGCCCATCAGCGACGGCCCCTTGAACAACAGCACTGGGACTCCTTTCTTCTATGTGACACCCAAGGACCCTGCAGTGGCTGATCTGATGAAGAACCCTATGGCTTCCCTCCTGCTGCCAGAATCGGAAGGAGAGTTCTGCAGGTAGACAAAGGGGTTGACCTTGCCTTCCCAGGTCCACTGCATAAAGCAGGGAGGCTGTGGGGTGGGACCGCTCTGCGTCACGTGACTTTAGCAGGGCCCTGTGATGCCAAGTGATGTGTTCACCAACCTGAAGTGGCAAGAGTGGCTTTCCACTCTTTGGGATCAGATTGATTTCTGCCACTCACCAAGCTGTGTGGTTGGGAGCAAGTGGCTTCAACTTTGGGGGCATCCGCTTCCTCCTCTGTGAAATGGGAATAATAATTCCTGCCTCATAGGGTTACTGGGAGGGGTGAGGGTCTTGTACAATACCTGGTGGGCAAATGGCAGCTCTTGTTATGATAGACAAGAGGTAGGGAGGGGAGGCTGGTGATGGAGGGATCTAGTAGTTGGTCTGTGAGGCACCCAGAGCATGGAACCCATTTACCGCCCTCTAGGGGCTCCCTAGTTCATTCTCTGTTGATTGTTTTTCAAATTAATTTCAAACCCGCCATTCCCCACCCAACCGGAGATGTGTGCACAAAGACCCCAAGTTCTTTAACCCTCTTTTTCAAAAAGTCTAAAGGAAAAGACACTTAAGTGCAGATGGAACATTAATTCTGCACTTGTGTAGAGCCTGAAATCACATCCTGCCTGGGAGATTTCTGCCCCAAGCTCGTGTGGGGGGCTGCCTGGCAGCATCCCCTAAGGAGCAGCAAATGTAGCAGGTGGCCCCAGGCAAGTCCCCCAATCCCCAGGACTCTGTCGCTTCCCTGTAAAAGGTAGTGACACTTTAGGAACTAGGCTAGGATTCATCCCAATTCCAAAATTCCGGTATTCTTTACACAAAACATAAAAAACATATTAAGCAAACAAACTGATTCATTCTTTTGGGGGGTGGTAATAAAGCGACAGTGTGCTGTAAAATGTCACCCAGATAAAAGACCCCGTCTCTTACCCTTGGGCACTGACGAGGAGGAGAGACTGCATCTGGCTGGAGACAGTTCAGCGGACCCAGTTCCCTCTCTAGGGCCCGGCAAGGAGCCAGAAAAAGGGATGTTTCCTCTTTCATGGAAGAGTCTCTCTGTTCTTGGGCAGCCACGCTTGCTGGCCCCAGAAGGATATTCCCAGGATACCCTTCTAAACGTCTGAGCAGTTCCTAAGTCAGGCATCCTCAAAGTCGTCACAAGGCCGGAGCGTGTCCATGCCACACCTGCTCATGGAGACAGACAGCAGAACACAGAGCCATGCAGCTGTGCAGCGCTCAGAGTGTAGGAGGGATTGTGGACTGGAAAGTCCCAGGCAGACGTCAGCAGGAGCTGAAAGCTGGCAGCCCCGAGAAATCTGGCTTCGAGAGGTCCTCGCTGGGGGGATACAGGTCCCTAAGAACTGGGCATGCCTGTTTGCATGGTGTACATGCTGACCAGCTGCAGAAAGGGCAAACCCCAGGACCAGCCAAGGTAGCTGGCCGAGGCAGCTCAGCTCAGGACCCAAGGCAGACCCCTGCCGGGCCTGAGGGCCTCGGTGTCTCAGCACCATTGCACATCTGGACTGGAAGAGGAGGGATGAGCTGCCACCTTTGGTGCCCCTGTGTCTAGCTACTCATTCTAAACTCCTCAGAACTGCTCCCTGCTTGCCCTGCTTGAGATTCTGAAGCATTAAAATCGAGCTTAAAGAAATGCACGCAAACATCAAGTTTAGCCATAGGAAGCCCCGCAGCTCAGGTGACCAGGCTGTGGGTCTGTTGTCACCCCCAGGGCCACTACTTCCAATGAACTGCCTGCACCCAGGTGTGTTTCCTCTGTGCGAGCTTCATCGTCCAAGTTCAGTGTTACATTTTGGGTTTGGGCTCCAGAATCGTGGGGATGATGAGCACAGAGACTTCACAAGAAAGACAGACTGACACCGGAGCCCTGAATAATCAAACCAAGTGGGAGCTCCTCAGACCACAGGAGCATAGCATGGCATCAGGTGGAAATGGCCATGACTAAGAACTACCCCAACATGCAAGAAGTTCAAGGTTATGGCCCGGCCAGGCTGTATCCGGCTGGCCCTCCTACCTGATCCCAGAGCCCAGAGGGATGGCCACTGTGACCAGGGCTCTTTGTCAAGCACATCAAAGCAATTCCCACAGAGCAGCGGGATTAAAAAACAAAAAAACAACTCCCATTTCTCATGATGATATTGATAAATCAAAGCCTCCTTCAGAAGGCAGCTCATACTCAGAAAAATGAGCATTGTCTTCGGTCTTTAAAGCTGGTGTCCAAGGGAATTCAAAAGGTACCACAGCCTTTGTACCTTCACTTTCGGTGCAGGCTGTGTGCTCACAGTCCTCTGCTGCTCTCTGCCGCTGGGGAGGGCCGGAGGCTTTCCCATTTCACCCTAAGTGGGCAGACAAAGCCAGAGCTGGTCTTCTGTGGGATGCCTCGCAGGGCTGTGTGGGCCCTGAGGGCCACGCAGGGGCTGAGGAGCCCGCAGCCACAGAACCACAAACCAAGGCCAGACAGGAAGGAAGCAGCGTGGCCGCCGATGCTCTAGAGAAGGAAAAGAAGTGCCTTCCCAGCCATTTCCTGAATGGCCCACGGGGCATTTCAGCTACAGCCTGCCTCTGCATGCATCAGGGTCGGCTCTGGTGCCGGCGGAGTCTGCACTGGGACGGGTTGGTGAGCCCCCTTTCCAGGGACCACAGCCCCAGAATGAGGGCTGAGCACAGTTCCTGCCCGAGGGTAAGCCCAGGGCATCTGATTGTACTGCGAGGGCAGGCTGATCGGCCCTCTGCTAGTAGAGCTCCACACGCAGACAGATAGCTGTGGGTGTGAGTGTGTGTGCGTGCACGTGTGTGTGCAAACGTGCATGTCCTGTCACACACATATCCAACTATTACCGTTCTGAGGGCGTATATGTCAGTCACCTCCACTGGTCCCCCCCTCCCCGCCCCAGTCTGCTCTGTCACCTTGAGTTCATCTCAAGATGAATTCCTCGGAATCCATGTCAGATCCTGGAATTCCCTGCTTAAATGCTTTCATTGGGAAAAATAACAAAATCCTTGCGTGGCCGGGAGCCTGCCTCCCCCTCAAAATAGAGAAGAGAGCCTGTGTCTTTGCTAATTGGCTTAATAGTTGGTTGATATCCTAGTTTTATTAATTTGAGAGGTTTAACCTAAAAGCTTGTTGTCATCAAAGCTGATACAGGTGTTTAGCATGTAGCTAAGAAATGCTTTTTTTTAACTGAGATGTAATTGCCATGTAATATCGTACGTTTAAGGTGCACAACAGGTTGATTTGATACATTTGTATATTACAGTGTGATTACACCATGGCATTCGCTAACACCTCTGTCACATTCCATAATTGCCATTTATTTTTTGGAGTGAGAACATTTAAGATCTGGTCTCCTAGCAACTTTGAAGGATATAATGTATTATCATTGCCTTTGATCGCTGTGCTGTGCGTTAGCTATCCGAAACTTATCCATCTTCCAACTGCATGTCTGTATCCTTTGACCAACATCTCCCCAATTTCCCCCAATCCTCATTGCCTGGTAACTGCCATCCTACTCTCTGCTTTGGTGAGTTTGGCTTATTTTGGATTCCAAATGTACATGAGACCATATTTGTCTTTCTCTGTTAGACATTTCTTGCTCAACATAATGTCCTCAGGGGCCATCCATGTTGTCCCCAGTGGCAGAATTCCCTTTTTATCTTGGCTGAGGAATATTCCATTGTATATAAGAAGTGTTTTTCATTCAGTAATACCACATGTATGCTGACACAGATCATGCCTCCCAAAAATGATACTTGGGTCTATCAGCTGGCCTGTAGATTAACGATGAAGTTGGATCTAAACTGCTATAGGGGGCGGGGTGGAATGCCTAGGTGGCTCAGTGGTTAAGCATCTGACTTCAGCTCATGTCATGATCCCAAGGTCCTGGGATCAAGGCCCATCAGGCTCCCTGCTCAGTGGAGAACCTGCTTCTCTCTCTCACTCTGTCTGCTGCTCCCGCTGCTTATTCTCTCTCTCTCTCTCTCTCTCTCTCTGTCAAATAAATAAATAAATATGTGTGTGTGTGTGTGTGTGTGTGTGTGTGTGTGTGTGTGTGTGTGTATGTATTTTTTTTTAAACTGCTATGGTTGAAAGACATTGAGTATCCAAAACTCTCAGGAAGTTTAATGATGAAGAGAATACACAGCAAATGTCCTTTCCTTAATTGAAGCTGGGTAAGGCCAACATCTTGAGAATAAGCAAAGGAACGAGTACTTCTCCATATCTTACAGGTTTATGGGGACCTTAAAGAGTTTTTCAGTGAATCTGTAAAATTCAGCCTGGGATAATCCATCCCATCTAGCTATGAGGTTCCCCCCAAACTTTTTACCACCCTGATCCTCTGGTCCCTGAACATACCCTAAAATGTCACAGTAAAGATACTAGACTTAGTTAATTGCACACAGTTGTCTTGATTCCCACCCAAGGCATATCGAATTGGGTGCTATCACCCTGCCCTTCTTCCTGGAGGAGATCATCTGGAAAAAGAATCTGACTGGATAATTAGCAGAAAGCGCCTTTCGGTACTGAAAAAGGATAGGATTGGTGGTTCCTAAGGGACGAGTCTCAGGTTTCTCAGCTCAGGATAACATGACAGATTGAGAATAAGACTCCACTTTACAAGCTTTCACCAGCAATGAGCAACCCCCGCTCTCTCGTTTTCCTCTCCCCTCGAAGACACCAGCATGTAGAGAGGCTCCTATGCCTAAGCGAATTTATGCTCAGAGCAGAGACCCAGTGGTATGGACATCCAATAAATATTGATTGACAAAGAAAGCCCACTGGAGACATTTCTCTTCTGCGGAAACATCTTTCCTTATGGAGTTTGCAGGCCTGAACACTGTGGAGCTTAGGCTTTGCATCTTCTCAGAGAACCAAGGCGAAGCAAGTCGTCTGGGCCAGGGAGGGCTCTTCTGTTGAGTGACATTCTGCTCATTGGCATTAGATGAATCTTCATTTTGAAGACCTGGAAATCAATAGAAC